TTTTTCCACTACATCCCGCAGACGATCAATCAGGGTGGTGAGTACTAGCAAACTGGAAGCAATTCGGGTAACCGAGAGCGTGTCGGCCACGATGGCTTCATCGATCGCTAGTTTCATTAATGAGAGACAGGTCGGCCCCAGAACCTCGACTAATAATGAAGTCTTGAAGAAGTGCTCTTCCGAAGGAGTATTGGTGAATGTCGTGTGGATCACGATATTGCTGTGACGAAAAAAAAATGTTAGCAAGGATTGACTCAATCCTGCGTGTGTAAGGAAAGGGAAACTGACTCTGGAGTGAATCCCTCAGCCGGATTGACCAGACGCCAGTTGTAAAGCACAGTGTCGGCATATGTGAGCACGGGAGGCATGTCGAGTAAGTTGCTGACGGCACATAACGGGACGGCGATTCCTTTTGGGATCTTCTCGAGTTGATTGGGTGTTGACTCATCGAGGAGTTTGCCGCTATGAACGTAGAAGTGCATGAGGAAGGCCAGGACCAAGTGAGCGCGTCGCAGTTGGGCCACATCGTGCTCCTCCAGACTGTCGATGTCGACGACCGGGAGCTCCTCGCGAATCATCTGCCTCCATCGTCGAGTGCGCTCATCGGCTTCACCCAGCCCAAGATGGAGCCCGCGGGCAGCATCCAAAGCGTCCTCCCAGCGTGCCCATGGACCATCCAAGCGGCAGACGGGAGGACTGCTCGGGAGAAAGCCCGAGCGAAGACCAAGGTCGAGCTTGAGGCTCCGTTCGCCAAGCTCCTGGAGTGCAGACTTTTCAAAGTGACCATCACCATCCAGGGGCTTGAGTTGAGGGGAGCGAATATCAAACAGGCCAATTGGGCTTGTGTGTGTTGATTTGAAGTCATCCGGGCCCTTTGAGTCGGGGAGGAGGACCGAGCTTAAGACACCCATGGCGGAGGCTATCTATGTAGTTGCTGTTGCGGTAGGAAAGAGTCGAGAAAGCGATGTTGAAAAACAAAAGAGGTAATTGTTCTTAGTAGATAGTAGATATGGCCACATCCAATCCACCCAAGAGTTTCCGGGAGATGTGGAGGATGGGTTATATACGCTCGTCAGGCTTGATGAAAGTGAACAGGCACCAACCTAAAGTTTTGTGTGATGCTGGGACCATCAATAAGGCAATGGCGTGGTGTTCTAGATGGTCAACAGACTGGAATGGCCAGTCCGGTTGTTGATTTTAGTCTGTTCTGACTGAGGATCAAAGCAAGGGTATAGCCAAGACTTGCCAGTCGATTTCCTTTTCCGTGTCTGACTGCCTCCCCCCTCTCCAAATCTATAACATATCCCGCCATCCTGGGATTAAAGAAGAGATCGAAGAGCCTCGGCCGGGTCGCACTGAAGCCGGCATGGCAGATGTCCATCCTAGCAAAATCCTTGGTTTCTGATTCTTAACCCTCAGGTCCATCGCGCTGGAGCCGTCGTTCCCATCATCCATCGGTCGCAGTCAGCTGGGGATCAAAAACCTCCGCCGTGAAAGCAGTGGGCCACTCGAGATGAGCATCGTGGATCAAGTGGATGGATCGAGCGATGGTCGACAATGGCAAAGCTTCCCTTTGAACTCATCAAAACAAAAACAATCATGTTCAACAACACCGGCCTACCCCTTCCGATCATCAAGCGGCGTGGCGTGAATATCCGAGGTCCCAAAACGCAAGCAGAAGCCCAAGAAAGCGAGCGAGCTGAACCGGCACTATGTAGCAGTGCATTGGCCAGGATGGCCCTGCGTGAGGTATTTACATGATTCCTCCAATCGAGAGTGCCATATCGAGCTTGAAGTTAGGCCAGCAACACAACTGCAGAGATCCGACACCCAGCCAGTTTGCATCCGTCGTTGCACTCAATCTGGAAAATCGAAATAGCCATGTACCGATTCGTTGGTCTGTTCGCTGTACTCCCCAACCTCTGTGTCTGTGCACACCCTTTGATTTGCCAAGGGAAAAAAGCAATGGGAGCTGAAAACACTAATGACCATTCGATCACTGCATCCTCTGCACCCGTCAAGATGAGGAAGAGCGAAACACAGGTTTCCGCGCCTTGGATGAAGACCGACAGCCGGATTGGGACCGGTGTGCTGTCCCCCTGGCCAGATCGACCAGCGGGAAAAGAGAGTTTCTGATTTTCTTGGGGTTTGTTCTTTCTTGGGTGGAGCGGGAGCCCGATGATCAGTGTATTCAAGCTCGGCAGAACCACCGGATCGCTGCTGTACCGAGCAGAAACCGAGCAGCACGAACAGCATCCCATTTCACCACCACCAGGAAGGGTGGACGGCCTTTCACCTCCTTCGCGGGAACAGAACGATTGTCGAGGAACGGCTGCTCTCGCTCAAAAAAGCTTGTGTCCCCAGTCAAGGACGATGGACAGTGTCCAAGGAACATGAGATCAAGTGTGGAAGATCAAGGAGAGCCGGCTTGCGGAAACGCCGACCACACACAGCCAAGTTGTGACCAGACACCAGCCGTACGTTTATGCACTATTCATTTGTTTCTCGGTATAATCCTTTTCAGATGTTTCTGGGTGGGAAGCGTGCTTCGAGAATATTAATTCTGCGTGCAAAATCGCTAATTGGGGAGCTCACCCCCAAACATCTTTAATGGTTGTGATCTGGCATGGTTGGACTGGGCCGGTTTGAGAAGTCAGCCTTTCCCCGTTCAACTCAACAATCATTCCGCAAACCAAGCACTTCAAGTGCAGGTTCCCACAATATTTTTCAGACGATTCGAAAAATGTCCAAGTGTGACTCGATTGTCTCGCCGTCCATGAAAGTAGCTCAAAAAAAAAAACATTTTTAGGTTTCCTGGATATATATTTTTTTTGCTTCGGTGTGGTGCATTGCGAATACAAAGCTGGAAAAGAGCATGAATTGTAGGGATGGATTCTGAATGAGGGATGTGCGGATCTCTTGAGCCTTGAGGAAGTGATCATTGCCAGAGGGAGTGGGAATTTTCAATCTTTAAAGGTACATCATATTCATGAGAAATTCAGCTACATAAAAAAAAAAAAAGGTGCTAGGATATTAAGATCCAGAGAGAGAGAGAGAGAAAGCGAGGTTTGACTAGTTGGGAAATCAAGGTATCAGGCAGGATGATTGATTGGATAGACACTGAAGCAATTCTTTTCCACCTCGTCTTTAGTGGATCGGGTGTGATCCTCCTAGAAATGGGGTTATAAAAAAGTCGCAAGTTTGGAATTTTAATAAATCTGTGCTACGATTTCCAAGTGGAGAAGGTGTGCAAGCTGAATAAGAC